CTCTCCAGACCTCTCACCACTTTTAATTCAACATGATAAGACATGAAAAGATTCCTGACATAACACAATTAGCTAAAGTCACTGTTTGATAGCCCTGATGTGCACAGGACACACTTTTCTGCAGAAACAGCATCTTTTTTTAAAATAAATCGAGCAAACCTGCATTTAACCTTGTCTGCTTATCAAAGGAAGATAACTAAAACAAGTCTTTAAAAAGTATAAGATTCTGAATTAAATGTTGCTTGTAGTTTGTTTTTCACGTTTTTACTTATACTCTGCTATTTGGAGCTGGACACATCATCCAATCTTCTTTCCAGTCTTAAGTAAAACAATTCACAGTTGTCTAACAGGTTTCAGCTTTTCTTAGTACACACAAAGAACTAGTTAACATTAGGTTGATTACACACGTCAATGTGCATTAAGGAAAAAAAAACAAACCTAGGGGGACAGTGGACAGCATTGGTGCCTCACGATACTGGGGCCCTGGGTTCAATTTCAGGAGTGCTGTCTGTACAGTGTTTGTACAGTATGTTCTCCCCAAGTTTGTTTGGGTTTTCACCAGGTGCTCCACTTTCCTCATATAGCCCAAAGACATACTGGAAGGTTAACTGACTTTTGTAAAATTGGTCCTGGTCTGAGTGTGTGCATGTCTATGTCTGTATGTGCTGTGTGAAGGACTGCTGACCCAACCAGGTTATACCTAGCCTTGTGCCCAATGCTTGCCAACCCTATACTGGATAAAGCAGTTTACAAAAAGGTTGGATGGAAAAAACTAAATTAATAAATCAAGATACAGTGCCTGGAAATGAAGAATTACATAAGAACACACTGTAAGAAAAATTAGAAATGAGAGACCATTTGGATTTTCCAGCCCGTGTGGCTGCTACCAGCTAATGGATCCAAGGACCTCCTTCAGTCACTTCTTGAAAAAAGGCCATGGTATCAACTTCAAGAACATGGCTGAGGAGATTGTTCCTCTGTTCTCAGTTTTCCTGTTCTCAGTTTCAAATGCTGTCTCCCATGGTTTCCACTTACATCCTCATGTTCATCTGCAATGTCTCTTTTGAATGTTATTGTTTTTTTCATTAAAAAAAACACTCTTTCTGGCTTCCAATGGATTCTGTTTGTTGTATCTGAGATTTAGTCTCTTATTTAGTCTGTAAGCATTCTCAGGTTCAGAAAGCATTACATTACATTTTTGCTTTTTTTACTATCAAGATAATACTAATACTTTAAAACAGGGGTGGCAGTTCTAGTCCTTGAGGACAAAAAGATCCTCTAAATTACGTTTCTTCACATTGTGCATTAGCTGTTTGGATAAGACAACTAGTCATCTGCTCTTGTAGATCTTGATTGAGTTGTTAATTGTAAAGTACAGGATATATAAATCTTGCAAAACTACCCTCCACTACTGCACCCCCTCCCAGCTTTAAATAAAACAAAAGAATAGGAAAACCAAAGGAACACTGCAACAGAAATTACAATTAACGGAATAAATGCTAAAAACTGCTAGGGCTAAACCTGGAACGACAAGCAAACCACATTATTAAGCAAACACTGCTATGTTTGCTAAACATTGCATTGTCTACTAAATAGGTTCTGATTCTTCCAACTCATTAATTTCGAGGCTCTGATAAACCGAGCATGAAACAAAATAAATAATACAGCTGCTTGCTGAACACATTATTTCCATCTTTTCAATAAATTATGAGATTAACGGGGAAGTGAGACTTCTGTCTATTCTGCAGGACTAAGTCTCCTGTCAGGCACCATGTCTTCTGTCATGGGAGCCCGGAATACACAGGAGTGAAAAGACAGTTTTTGCTCTCAGCCTAATCTGATACCCGCTGCAGAGCTCTGAAAGACTTCATTAACCCACTGCGCCACCTAGCCCTCGCAAAAGTCCTTTTGTTTTAAGCGCGTGTGCTTTTATGTTGTAATAAATTAGCTTCATTTTGCCAGAGCGAGAGCGTGACACGCTTCCCTGCTCGCGCGTCATCTTCGAACGTGCACTAGCTGTAAATTGTCACTTGCATTAAATTTAAACAGCGCCTCGAATAAGATGCAGACTTTTGTTCAGTCCACAATATGTAAGAAACCCCCCCTTCCCTTCCCGTCAAGGACAGAGATAGATTGAAAGCAATAGAGCTTTACTTTGTGTGTTTAGCTGGGTGTGAGGGCTCTCTGGTATGGGCTACAAAGAAAATAGAACTATTGAAACCCTAAGCAACTAATAGTGACCAGATTTATGCTGCTCATCACTTTCCAGAGAGCACTAGAATGCAAACGCTGTGGCCTCTGCACAATCATAAAAACATCCTCTGTCCTTTTTATGGCAGGCAAACAAAAACACTTTAATGCCCTCAATGAAGCCCTCTGATGCAAGGCCAGCCTGTCAAAAGTCCATTGTCATAAAATTTTCTCGCCTCAGGTACGACGTGGTACACAAAAAATTATCTAAAACTGCTCTGGAAAATAGCAATTACAGACTACATAGTCAATAAATTAGACTAATGTGATCCTGTTTTCCACATGTGACTGCTTTCAGAATACATGGACTGTATCGGTTCTGTGGAAAAATGCAGGCTTCATTCATCGAAGGTCAGCGTCAACCACAAGATAATAAATTACATTAACGAGAAGAAGTGACAATAAGTTTACCCATTCCGTGGGGTAGTATTTATTGCGCCAGATCAGTTATTGATAAAACAGACAAAGATGAACATTACAAGCATGGAAGTTGAGTTGCAGTATAATTAGAAACAAAACAAAGTTACTTTTTTGTACATTTATTTCCTCCTCAATTTAGTAGCTACCATAAGGAGGGTGGATTGACTGAAAAAAAAAAAACTTAACACTTTCTTGGAAACATACTCTCTAAAAATGTTCATGAAACCAGGGAAATAATGCAGTTTCCTCATGTCAGAAAATAAACCTTGTATGCTGCCACTTGATTTGTCATTAAATTGCTATAATCTTATCAGAACAAAGGTAACTCAATGCTGCAATGTTGCACTCTTCAACCATCTATCCATTATCAGAAAGCCCCCTATACCGGTGAAGTTCGAGGCACGTTCATCCTATGAAGGAAGAGTCTGATGCAGGGCGGGACTGACAGAACATGACTACTCTGTTACAGGATGGGACACTTGTCAATCACAGCACAGAGAGAACTGTACACTTCATGCAGGCACACAGACACACTGCAATTGGATATAGGACCCTAGAAGTGGGAGGCATCTCCACTTACTTCCACACCACTGTACTGCCTGTAGTATTCGTCAGTAAGCTCTAAATAACTGATTATTGGACACCTGTCAATTGTGATGGTGAGGAAAAATTCAACTTTTTTATATTTTTGGGGAAAACAAGGTTAAAGTTAGGAGTTTCTGAAATCAAAAGTTCAAGGTCAAGTGAGTAGTGTAGGACCCTAGGCAGACGGTATAATCCGGAAGTAACTGGAAAAGGGCAACTGGGAAAACACAATGAGGATCAGGACGGGATGACAGACAGGGGGGCGTGATGACGGTGATCTGGTGCTAACGGGGGGGCGTGGCCCAGGCAAACAAGTCCAAACAGTCCAAAAAGGGATACCGGGGCGCAGTCCAGGGTCCAGGTGCTGGGAGAACCATCCAAGACAGACAAGGTTTAAATCCGGAATGGGATCAGGAACAGTGAGTTAAAAACAGGATAACGAGGCCAGGTGCTAAGAGCCCCGGACTCCGACGGTCAGGACTCCAGGGAATAAGACCAGCCCTCAGGCTACCTGCGGGAATAGACAAGCCTTGTGGCATCCATCTTCCAATGCTGAGCCAGGAAGATTGGGATATTTGAAATTGACAGGCAAAACAGGGGGCAGGTGCACGTAATAAACTAAAACACGGAAGGGTCGGAGCGCCCTTAGGAGGAGGGATGACGTGTGACAACAGCATGATCACATGACCCAGTACAGGTGTCAAATGTGATGGGATAAGAAGCTCCTGCTGAATAACACCCCCCACCTGGATATTTCTGGTTCTGCTGATGAAGAGGAGAGACACTTGAAACAAGGAATTCAAAATGAGAATGAAAAACATTCTATGAGAAAAGTCAAGGATGGCATGTTGTTCCACTCATATTCGAATCACTTTGTGAAAAAAAAGTACAGTACATAAATATGACCTAGGCTTTTAAGCTGCAATGAAGGCTACGAGATAGAAGTACTGAGTTCTGTGATTACAGATTGATTTGCTGCAATCAAGGCTCTTGTGTCTGTTCTCTGGGAATCTGAGAGATTTCTGTTCTGAAGTACAAAAAAATGACAATGGAGGTCACATGCAGTGGAACTAACAGTGAAGTAAGGGAGTGAGGGCTCAAGGTTTTCTAAAGGATACTCTAAAGTAAAAGTCTTAGTTGAACAGCTTTGCTTTATATTGACATGGCCCTTTGGTATTGCTTTGGATATGGCATTAGGCATCAAGGGTATCAGATGAACAAATAATAACTAGAGCTAAAGTCCTGCTGTAATTCTTCAGGGAGATTGTTCTTTTTCTTGTATTCTACGGGATTTCCAAGTAACCTCATGATGGGGTATCCCATGACAAAATACCGATCTGGAGACTTGATAAGTTATGGGAATAAGTTTGTCTGTAAAGATATTTCCGGCCTTGCTAGTGCATAGTGGTTTTAGGATACCAAACTAGTCATGTTCTTTAGCAAAGATCTGAGGAACTTTTTACAAAAGAGAGGGGCCTATTCAGCTGATGTAGCTCATTCCCATCCCGCTGTTTCTTGAAATATATTTCAGAGTTGATTTTAAAGAAGTCTATTGGTTTGACATTGCCAATGCCCTTGAATACTGAATACAACAGTCAAGTTCTCTTATATATTCACCATCCATATCTAGAAAGATTTATTTTTATAATGAGGGCTTACTATTGCATTCTCTAATTATAACACTGCAGTATTCCATATTTAAATAATGTGCTTTAACTATACACACCTTCTGTTTTCTTTTTTAGTGCTTCCTCAAAGCACGTGGAAGATGAAAACGAATCGACTACACATCATAAGTAACTTCTTCAAGTCATTTCCAGACCATTTATAAAAATCAGAAAGGGCATTGGTCCTGCAGATCTCTGTGGTACCCCACTAACTACTGTACATTTCCCTAATACAAGCATTCAGCCCTTATCTGTATCCTCTCTTTTCCTTTTCATTAACCTATTTTTAATCTACAGTACCTACATGTTTTTCTTTGAATGACTACCATTTGCAATTTGAGAATTTGCAGTCTCTCTTTTTTATTGGTAGGGGCTACATTAGCAATTTTCCAATCAATGGATATTATCTCTGTCTTGAGACTACTGCTTTTTGTTAATGGCCTGTGAATAATCTTTTTTCCTTAAGGAGCACTGAAAGAATACCACTGGACCCTGAAGATCTATCTTAAGTGGTTGTCGTACCTATGTCATGTTTTCCTCTTCTATGTTAATAAAATAAAAATGTGTCCTACTTAAGGCATGATCTTTAAACAGAGTGTTATCAAATAATATTCCAAATCTGTGAAACGAAAATAAATGCACCTACAGTGAATGCAGTTTCTACTTTATTTTCAGTTCTCTACTCTACTACTACTATGGCTTTTCATGGCCAATGTTGAAGACACCTGGGTTAAGGTACAGGGCTTTTTAGAAGTAGGCAACTGGTTTAAGAGATGGGTTTTACATAGAAAGTTTACTTTCAAGATATACGTCTCCATTCTTCAAAGATTAATTAAAACTGAGGGTCTATTCTACGTGACTATGTGGCAGCAAATGTTTGATGTGTAGTTCACCTGAAAGTCTTTGTGTGTTGCAATCCAACAAAGTGTTAGAAAAAATCAGACTGGTTATTACCAGAAATCATCACTACAGCCTTTCACTCTTGGAGTTCCTCACTAACTTCAAAGTTACGTTTTAAAAAGAACTGCCAAATGAAGAAGTGTAATTTAAATTTAGGGTTATGGGAGTATGGAACAATCCATCCATGTTGTTGAAAGGCTTCTTTCAAGGAATGGATGGATGAGATCCTCTTAGTAGTTAACTACTAACTAACCAATGGGCGAGAAATCACCTCCTATTATTTCTTGTCTCATGTTGTTATACTGCTAAAAAGCTCACTTGTGAAGAGAACCGCTTTGCTCACAGAATAATTTACTCTGTCAGCATCAGCTTTTTAAAAAGTTTTTACAAATAATAAAATGCTGTGGATCCAACGCATCTAACCCACCCCAATGTATAATATCAAAATGTCATATGATCATGGCACATCAGCCATATCTGACAGCTGTAGAACTATGGTTGGGCAATTTTCAAAACAAACGGCAGAGTGCTGTCAACTTAAAGAATAAAAGCTGAGTTACTTTTGAGAAACATAACAGTGTCATGAGCAGCAAGGCCTTCAAAAGCCCTTGTGTGCCTGTTTGGGTGATGCTTGTGTTGTCTTGTGGGGGAGTGCAAACTTCTAATGGAGCCCTGCTGTCAATTTCTTAGCACTGGTCACGGTCCCTTCCTCTCTCTCTTGCTGACTCTCTCAACATTTCCTTCAAAAGAAGGAGCTCCTGCTCCCTGCACGACACAAAACCATACAGAAGCAATAATAGCCTTTTGAAGAATGCACCACTGAACTTTAGGTCTGTCTTGCTCGAAAGGACATGTTAGAAATAACAAGAAAGGCAAAGAGCAATGATTTGCCTGGGATATGTACCCTCCTGCTGAGGTGCCCTATCCTGTAGCAAAAAGCTGGGAACACATGGTATGAGCATTCATTGTCAAGCAATCCCACCAAAAAGAAACATTCTTTCTGAATAATTGACTTCCAAACCTGTTACCATGCATGCTAAAGATGTGTTCTTGCTTTAGACCGAGTGTTGGGAGATACTAACACAGTTGTGGACAGGATTATTAGCTTAGGTAAAGGTATCAAAATCTATGTGGATAAAACCATAAAAAAGGGGGAAACAAGGTCAAAGCCAGTTTGCTCCCTTGTCAATGGCTATGCTCTCCAGGACACTAGGAATATCATATGTCACTGTCTACTTTTTTACATTGATTCCCAGATCAATTAATTCTTCTGTCTGACTGAATGTGACAGGTTTTATGAAAAGCGCCCTCTTAATTCATATCGCCATGGTGTCAGTTCACTCTGTTTCAGGCTGCATTGATTTGGAATGAACAAATGTGAACGCAAGGTGGCGGAGGCCACTACTTTTTCTGAATTCCTATCAATCTATACATCATCACAAGTCGCTGTTGTTCCTGCAGGCACTAGATCTCCCATGGCTATCTTTGAAACTCGTTCCTTGGCAGAGGCTTCATTTGTAAAACTAAATCTGAAAATGCCTTGAAATCACCTACAACCTCATCTGGAAATGGGCAACTCTCTGAAATACTGAAACCCCAAGGAACCCTTGCATTGATAAACTGAGCCAGAACTCAAATGAAATCGAGAGAAAAACTGTTTTATTTTTTCTTCCCCTTACAGAGTTATAAATAATTTTTGAAAGCAACAAAGGCCAAATCCGGCATCTCATCCTCCTGCACCAAGGTTTATTACAGTGTTACTGCTCCAAGGTTTAATTTCTCTAATCTTTTTATTTTTTGCCGCGTTGGGTGAGATCCATGACACTCAATTTATGGCCCCTCTCTCTGTCTGTCTCTCTCTCTCGCTCTCTATAAATATATACACAAAACTCCTGCTTTTAGCCTTAGGCCTGAAATGTGGATAGCACAACCGCTTTGTTAAAAAACCTTTTTTTTTTTACTGCGAAACGCAAGTGCAATGTTGAAAGGCAGTGAGCTGTCAGGAGGATATTGATTAAGCATTAAAACGAGCAGCCGTTGTGTGCATTCCCTGCAGTTATCGTCGAAACAGGGACTACCTCGCGTGGCAGAGCGCTGGCTCAGTGTTGACATTGAGAGGTGTCAGAGGGAAAAAAAAGTCCTAAAAACAAAGTACCACATTTGTCACAGAAATGCCATAAACAGAAAACAAACTCACAAAGTTTAGAAAAAAAACCCACTCGATTATATAAAAATACAACTGTCACTGCTTTAGTATTGCTTGCCAGTATAAAATACCACTTATTTGAGAATTTGAGATGCAACAGTACTCCCCAGAGTTGGAGGGATAAACTTTTAAAACTCCAAGGTTTTCTTCACTATTTCCGAGAACAAATGTGAAAGAATGAATGTATAGTAAAGCTCAATGAAGAATCAATTCAGCTGTAAAACAGATAGAATATCTACAGACTCCCCTCCTGGGTATTGTGTCACAAAGCCATTAATTCTGTCAGTAAAAAGCAAAGTGAATATGAAGCTGTAGAAAAGAAATTTAGAAAATCACCCTAATATACCATACAAACTCATACAAATTTCCCACAAAACTGCACTTATTTTAGCAAATACTGAAGCATTACTGGGTTGAAACAGAGTCTCTTCTCTCTGGCTACTGGTATTTTTGGCTTCATTTGATTAAAGACAAAGGACTTCCAACACAGCTAGTGTGAAGAAATCCAGGATTTAAATGTTCTCAGGTAAACCTCATTACCTAAAAGAGATATACCAGATCCAGAGCTCCAAAGTGATATAGATAGAAGGTATCTCTTTCAGGTGTTGGACTCTAAATTACGATAGAGAAGAAGGTTCCTTCGAAAAGACCAGGCTTCTAGGATCCATCTTGAGTGTTAGCAGCCAAGCAGCTGAATCTCATACCGCACAGCAATCCTTATCCACATAATGAAACACAGTTTGCCAGCAGCTCATAATGAAGCTTCCTGCTAGTGCCACCTATATTAAACCCTGTTTTTGTAACCTTTACACAGTGAGTAAATTGCTAATACAAGTTTCTGAAGGAAAAGGAAGGGAAGAGAACACGAAGGAGCGGGCAGAGGTGGTACCAATGTCACAATGCAGTTTAGTAACACCCCATTACCTTGTTAATAACACACTAATGGGCTGCTGCTATTTAAAAACTCTGCCAAATTTCTGTAATTAACAGCCACTTATAGCATTACGCATATTTTGCTACAAGACCAGATAAAAGATGTACAGAGCTCTTCTAACATGAGATTGATGCAGACAACCAAATGAGGAAAAAGAAAACCAAACGTCTTGGCAATAATAACAGTAATAACAGAGCCATCACCGTCAGAGTTTAAAACTGGAGATTTAAGCTTTCTTTACAACATAAATGTTTGATCATGAGCGTTAAACATCAAAATAGTCTTGCAGAAAATTCTAAATGAAAACGTCATTGAAAAAGGTGATTCGAAGGTACTTTGAAAATTAGCATGTGCACTACATAAATTACAATGCACATTTCCAGGGATTATTTATTCTTGTAGAGTAGCTGCAGGTAAATGTCAGTTCCCTACAAACATGCATGTAATGAACAATCCTCACATCACAGAAATAGCTGGTTACATCAATTAAGTGGAAATAAATGTTCACTTCTTTAGTAAATTTAATAATGAAGCTGGAAATGCTAATAATGCCTTTTAGGCTTTCTAACAGCAGTCATCCTGATCAAGTTTGGAAAGGCTTTGATACAGAGAAGTGAAATGTCACACATTGTTCTGAATCTTGATTTACCAGTTGAAAGGGATTTCCATAAACAGCAACAGATGTTCTGTCGAGGGCTGGGTTTTCATGGTGTGAGGAGTAGTGGGTGTTTTGGGTCTTTTTCACCATAATCATGATGTGAGGTAACTTCAGGCTTTTCCTGAGCATAGCACAGATATTCCACCACCCTGGCATCAAGCAACATGGCATCTGTCTCTTTACCCTCTACACATACAGTAGCCAGATGCTTTCTTTTCTGTGACTGGGAGTCCAGGACCCAGATTTATTGCCTGTTTTGTGTCAGCTCTAGATACAGAAAACCACACAGTTGGCAGTGGAGTGACTTTCTGTCCACCAGACTCCCTGTGATTACCAGCTCTGGGTAGTTGCTAGTCGTGGGGAAGAAGGGCTTGTGAAGATTTGTCCCCCTTGTGTGTCTGGGGACAGGGGAGGGGTGTGTGAAAGGTACTGTGTTGGATTTTTTTTCTCCTGGATTGATTCCTGTCATTCCTGGGAGAATTTTCATTCCTAGAGTCTCCATGATAAAATGGAAAATTTGACAACATTATGTTGTGATCATGACTGTTCCAGCTGAGACACCCTAAAACTCTCCATCTAACTTTAGCTAGAGCTCGTCTAGGAGCCCATGACTCACAACCACAGGGTGCCACTGACCACAACACTACTTTTAATATCCCAAGCTTAGTCTCTGCACTAATGCTCCTGCTCAATTAGACCACACATGAAAGTACATTTTCCAAACACTTTCATGCCAATTCCCAAATCACAAATATTTTTCTCATTCAATATTTCTTTGTAATCAAAGATTCTAAGCAGAGACATT